CCGTACTCACTAAGTACAAAAATATGTTTGAGGTAAAAGTGTAAGATAGAGCAAAAATTGCATTCACAAAGAAAAAAATTATGAATATATGTATCTATAAAATATTGTTCACTTCACTACCTTAGTTGAAGTAGCAAAAGCGTAAGGTTAAACAAAACATAATTTATGAATCAAGAATAGAGACTTAGAGAGAGAACTTATGTGTTGAAATTATGCAAATTTTATTGGATGGTATAAAAGCTAATAGTCTATTTATATTTTGCAATAATCCTTTTAAATTTTCAAGTGACTAACAATTGCAAGAAAGAAATAGAATTTCAATACTATTAAGTTGAATAGATGAACGTGGTAGAAAAAATTTGCTTTTAAGTGTTTCGTTTTAGTCTTTTGCTTGAGGACAAGTGACGTGGAAGGATATGGGAAGGATAGAATCAACAACTGAAACCCACTCACGTATCCAATACCAAAACTATAATCACCTAGAATTAAACCCCTCTCTCTAATTGAATTTACAATCCTAAAAAGAATGCAAAAACAAATAATAGAGAAATGAAATAAGAAAAGAAAAAACACCACGGACTTACTGATAAGTTGATCCCCACTCCTTGGCTCAATAAGATTTCTGAAGACTCCTGCTTCCCGAAAAACTTGAGAAAGCAAATTTTAGCAAAAATACTAAAAGAAGAAAAGTCAAACCTCTCAAAAATTCTCTCAAATTAATTATCAAAAATTGTGTTTACATCATAAGAACAAAGGTATATTTATAACCTTTCTCGGGTAATCTAGATGAGTACAAAATTTTTAGATAATTTAATAAAATAATATCCTAAATAAAATTCTATCTTAATTTATGATAGATACATAATAAAATAATTATTCTATCCCAAATATATTAATTAAATAATCCTAAGGGATAAAATTATAATAAAATATTAATTAAAATAAACTCATACTTATCCCAAATGAAATTCATATAAAACACATATGAAAATTACATTAAAATAATAGGATAAATGATTAAGATTAAAATATAATAAAATGATAACTTAGTATAATCTCAAGATTAAAATATTATATAATTAATGCTTAATTTAAATAATAATAATTAAATAATGATGTGATAATTACCATGTGAATTTTGTAAATTTTGGGCTGAAAAATCACAAGCCATGTGGAGGAAAAAAATCCAAAAACTTACCATACACACACCTCACCCGTGCGCACTAGGGAAGCCCGCACATACGTGCACGTCCTTCAGGCTTCACGAGTTTGCGGCCCGCCCAGGTTTTTCCTCGGTTGGGCCCGCGGTTGCTGCTGGGTCGGGTGTTTGGCCCGATTCCTTCTCTCTCGGGTGCGGGTTTGTTGGATCGGGCCTTGGGATGAGGACCAATCTTTGGGTCTCCCTGATGGGCCTCGTTCGGCCCACTTGCAGTGGCATGCGGTATGGGCCACACGTTCTCCTCGGGCACACGGCTTACTAGGTCGCAGGTGGGGCCTAACGGGCCGGGTGACTCGGGTCGCCCGCTCGCAAGTACCTCCCCTCCGTGCTTCGTCTTGGACATGCTACCGTCGTCTTCTAGGATCAATCTAAAAGCCTACAACTCATTGTCTTATATGCTTCTTTGGGCTCGTTGTCTCGGTGACCCATAAGGCTTCGTGGTTTGATGGCATCGATGATCCATCTTACCCAATATAACCTTGCACAAACTGGATCCTTGGGCTTCAAGGGATTGGTCTTGTTGTCGAACCTCGACTCTGTTTCCTTGGTCCGGGCTTCTCTCAAGCTTTGTTTTCGAATTGGCGTGAAATCTGATGGTTACCTCCTAGGTAACTGGGAGGCCCTCCTAGGGTCACATCAACAAGCAAAATTAAGTTAGAATTATTTGATGTATTGTATTTTTATAACATTTTTAATATACTTTTTACTTAAATTTGAAATAATTTTGAAATTAATTTGAGTTAAAAATTAATTTATGGATTAATTTTTTTATATAGGTTAAATAGTTGAAGAGAAGATAAAAAAGAGGCTGAAGAAGAGAAGAAGAAAAGATGAAGAAGGCCAAAACCCAGATCTATAGCAACCCAGGCCATAATCCATTCAAAGCCACTCCCAACCTTCCAGAACGACATTGTTTTGTGTCTGGAAACCAGACGCCAAAACAGTGCTGTTTTGAAGAGTGAAAAAAAATTGTAGAATAGGAAGAAGCGGCTTGAAGGGAAAGAAGGAAAAAAAAAGAAGAAATAAAATGAAGAGATGATGCCAAAAAAACCCCTGTCTTCTCTCTTTTTTTGGTTATAGAAAATTCAGATCTGTAGACATAGAGGAAGAGGCAACAAAAGGGTGAACTAGAAAACGAGAAAAAACTTGCAGAGAAAGAGAGATGTGAGCTAGAGAGAGAAAGTTTGGAGGATATTACAGAACTAGTGGAGAAGACAAGAATAACGGCAAATTTAAAGAGAAACATATCCAGGCTTTGAGAACTGAAGCAGAGAAGCAGAAAACAAATTTGCATAAACAGACACAGAAGCTGAAATGGGGAGGTAGAAAAGTTTTAGGAGAGAGCTGAAAAAAAAGGGAATTAATCAAGTAATATAAAGGGAATTAATCAAGTAATATATTTATTTAATTTTCAATTAGCGTATTTTTGGAATACAAATTTTCAAAAAAAATTTATGATAAGACCCGAAGTGTTTTAAATTTTTTATAAATTTATTATTGATTATTACATGATTATATTTTTCTAAAATATAATTGTTGTTGCTCAATCCACTATATCCGGCTAAATTTTTTTTGTTGGAGTGATTGACATAATCTAAATTGAAAATGTGTTTAAGAATTAATTTCTAGTTTTCTTCTGGTTGCAATTTATTAGTATTAAACTTAATTATGTTGTAAAAATTGACAAACTCATAACTTTATTTGTAATTGATAATTTTAAAGTACTGGAAGTGAAATTCTATCAATTAGAAGCGGTAATAGAGACTTGAACGAAAGCAATATAGTCGAATTAATATAGAGCAATCATATTATCACATATTTGGTTAAATCAAATTAATAGTTATTATAAAAGGTTAGCAATTATTAATTGATAGACCTAGGGGATATTGAGAAGGAAACTAAAAATATATTAGGATAGTTCAACCATTGTAAACTAGATTAAATCGATTGCAAAAATTAAAATACGAATATACCTAAGATTCAAGTGAAATTAATTATTCTGGTGCATTTCTGCTAATAAGTTTTTCTCAGTTTAAATTGTTTTACTTTAATTAAATTATTTTAATTTTTTATAAAAATTTAATTTCGATTTTTAGATAATAATAGAATTTTTTACAATTTTAGTATTTAATATACAATCTCTATAAGACGATATTCTACTCATCATTTTATTACTTGAAAGATTTTGTGCACTTACAAATCCGTCCATCACTAAGTCCTTTTTTAACTCTTATTTAAGGCCATAAAAGTTCTTTGCCATCAAGTAGATTACTCAAAACATGGATTTAGACTAATTTTGAAGACTCAAGATATGTGAATATCAAGTTCCTTAAATATAATTTACATCTATACCGAAAAAAAAACACGAAGTCAATGAAATCGAGAAAAAATTATTTTGCCCCCAGGTCCACTTGATTTGAAGTAGAAAATAACTTAAAAATGAGATAACAATGAGAATATCAAGTACATGAAATGAATAGTTTTATGAACTAATGTGTTTGCTTAACATTTCCACCAAAATTTGATTTGAGTCTTGTTGGCCAAATTCTAAGAAAACCCAAGATGGGGGATGAATTAAGTTTCCAAATTTTCAAACTTCTAAACAATTACGTAACTTTCTTTACATTCAGTATTTTTCCTAAAGTAAAACAATCTTCTTTTTGTGATTTTTCACTAAATAATATGAGTAAAATATATGAATAATAGTGAAAATCTCATTTTCTAATCAAATTGTTAAGGTAATGATGATGGAATAAATTTATGATACTAAAGAGTTTAGCATTATTAATAAATCTCTAAGTTTGTGTATGAAATGTGTGCTAAAATAAGATATTAAGCAATATTAAATCAAAGATAAATTAAAACAGATAAGGAAAGAGAATGCAAACTTGGTTTATAAGTTCAACCACACCATTATGCTTACTTCCTCTTTCTCATACCAACTACTTAAAGTTTTCACTACTTTCTTTTGTCTTTTAATGAACTTACTTGTTCTTGGTGTCTTGTTATCTAACTACTTGTGTCTCCTTAACATAATAACTCTCAAGGCCTCTTCAAACCTTTCTTACTACACTCTAGTTATTCTTGGTGTCTAACTTAACAAATTTTTTGTATTCTCAACACAAAAACTCTCAAAAGTCCTCCACAAACTATTATTATAATGCCCCAGAAATGTAGAAGAAAAAATTATAACTTTTTCTTTTAAGAATTGATTTACAAGTGAAAATACATTTAAGACTCAATAAAAGCTCAAGAGAAAATGATGAAAATTTTGGTTTGAATTTTTCAAAAAGATTTTTTAAAAACTTCAAAAGTTGTATATAAAATAATATATAAGAGCTTAAGAAACTTTTTAAAAGATTTTCATAGAAAATCCTTTTTGAAGAATGAATTTTCAACATATAAAAAACCTAAAGAAGTTTTGAAAAAATTTTCTAAAAATTCTTTCTTGAGTAGTGAATATGCAAGTGGAAGCATAATAAAATATTCAAATATGAAGATTAAAGATAAAAGTTTTTCTTCAAATCCCAATATAATGTTCAAAATCTTCCCTTCTCTTTTTGAATAATGTGGAAGAAGATATTTAAAGAAACTAGTCATTAGTGACAGAGATATGAGATATCAACATTTAGTGCGGTACTAACGGTTATATTTTTTAAGATTTATGTCTGATATGATTTCAGGTGTAATCTAAAGATCACATGCTCGTATACACTAATAAAAAATTAATTTTAAAATGTCATGATTTGAAGAAATACATATGTAGACACATTAATATTAATTTAAATATACTTTTAATGTTTAAAAAAATTATAAAACAACAATCAATTTAAGTTTTTTTCAAAAATTTATTTTTCAATCAAATTGTTTTTAGAAAAATTAGTGAAAAATATTTCTAGAAGATATTTTCAAAGAGATTTTCATGAATCGAAAACTTGAATAATGAAAAATCTTGAGCTTTCAAAATTAAAATATCTTTTTACAAGGAAGATAAACAATAAAATAATTTTAATCTTCAATTACTTTTTTTTCTTCCGCTAGCATTATGGTCTATAGCATTCCATTCCATTTTCTTAACTTGTATAGTGCTAGCAAACTCAAAAACTAAATCAATAATATTATTAGTGTGAAATTAAATTTTTACCAATTATCAAAATCAATGAATATTGTTTAATAAGTGTCCTCGATAGGGTAAACCTTGCGGGAGAAAAAAGTCTGATAGTGTAAATAGAACCATCTCTGGAAAAAAGAAAGTCGAAAAAATTCCAGTAGCCAATATCAAGCTAGTAAAACTACAGTATTTGTACTTTCACACTTGCAACAAAAGAAAACACTATAATCAATAAAATATAGATATCTAACAAACGAAAGTAAATTAGAAAAGAAATGAGAACAAATAGCTTCACTATAGGGGCAAAGTCGTGACTTGCTTTGCACCCTAATAGGCCTTATTCAAGATGAAATAGAGAAATAAATCATATTTTAAATATATTCCAAATCTAGTAAGGAGGCAGTATGCATATGGACCCCTTTACTCAGGGTGTTAATAGACAAAGTAATCCCCAATAGATAGAGCAGAAAGTTGCAAATTAGTTAGCCTACCATGATATCCTTAGAAGGATCCAAGGTCACATAAACTTCGATTATTGTCTTGGTTATTATGAAGTTCTTGGATTTAGAATTAGCCATAAACCCAATAATCAATCGATTTCAGCACCTTCTAGGAGGGATGATTAAACCTAGCATCCAAAAGAATACTCTTCTGCAATAAGGGAGACCATTGATGTCATAAAGATTGTGATAAATATAGAGTAAATCATTTCATAATCAACTTGAAGATTTTAGAATTTTCTTGATTCTATTGTTATTGTGAAAGAAATCATATAGACAAATATTTCAATAAAAACTTTCAACATCTTTATATCTATATGATAATTCTGACAAATCGACGTGTTTGATAAAAAAAAACTAAAATTTGAAGTTAATAAGTCACAGATATTTTGAATTTTTTTTATTTAATTTTCTAATCTTTGAAAATGTATTTTTTATTGTTGTTAGGGTTGATTTTTAGGGGAATCAAGTAGGTATTTTAAGAGGTTTCTCAATTGTACTATGATTATCGCATGTAGTTAATCTATATATATATATATATATATAATCCAATACATTTGTATATTTATCTTTCTTAAAAAAATATTTATAAAAATTAACAGTTTCAAGTGATTTATGAGCCAACCGCATGACAGCTACAAGTATCATATTTCCCATTTTTTTATAGAACACTACATAATCAATTAGATGAGTTCTTATAAAGTTGTCTTTTTTGTTTATTCCATGTTTGAAAACTAATCTACCTCTGTATCAAGAGCTATTATTTTGAGCCTCACCCCAACCAAATGTATTTAGATTTTTTTTTTTTTGGTTGAGTGTATCTCTTAAAAGTAGAGAGACTTGTGATAGGTCATGTAAATATATGAACACATAGGGTAGATATAATAAAATTTAAAATTTTTCATAATTAACATTAATAGTGCTTTTGCTAATAGTTCTAAAATCAAAAGTTATAACAGGCAGCTTTTCTAAACTTATTTTAGCTTTTATTAAAAATCCATATTTAAAATCCCAAAATTACTTTTTCTCAAAATTTATAATCACACAAATACTCCCTATATATATATATATATATATGTAACGCCCAGAAAATTGGGCAATTTTGTTATTTTATTATGAATTTTATTTATTAAGTTTAAAAAAAAAAGCGCCACGTCAGCAGCCATGTCAGCGGCCCAGTCAGCAGCCCTGGCCAACCAGGACCTGCCGCGTGGCAAGACCACGTCGACCCGGGGACGGCCACGTTAGCGATCCGCGTGCGCGCGATCGAACGGCCCAGATGCATCCCCGCGCACACAGACGACCCAGATGCAATCGCACGGACGGCCCAGATGCACGCGCACGGACGACCCAGATTCAATCAAAAAACGGACGGCCCAGATTTAATCAAAATGGACGACTGAGATCAAAAGGCAAAAGGGTATAAATAGAACCCCCACACCTGACCACAAAAACCCTAGCTGCCTGCCCTCGCCGGAGAAGATGAACCAGACGCCGGAGGAGCCGGCCGCCGCCACCCGCCGCTGCACCGGGGAGATTTTCGACCACCGATCGAGGTAAATTTCATACCTCCGACTCGTTTTTCCACGCTGAGTTACCCTGTGGCCAAATCGGAGCGAAAATTCCGGCCAAACGGCCGAAAAACACAGCCGAAACCCAGCGGTGCCGCCGCACCCCTCCTCGATTTTTGCCTCCGATGAGGCCCTTCCCGGCCTCCGTTTGATGCA